AAACCTTATCTCCCTTTTCTTCTGCTATGCTCTCCCCCACTCCCATGATAGGAGAGATCCTCCTCCCCTTCCATCTGAGGTCTCCTCAGGACTGGCTTCTTTGTCTTCCTCTGTGGACTCCATAAGGTTGCTCCCCCTTCAGGTGGAGGTGATCCAAGAATCATCCCATGAGTTCATGTCAGAGATGGTCCCTGGTCCTATTATTGGTGAACTCTCTTTGATACTGAGCTGCCTTCGGCTACTTCTGTGCAAGTACAAAAATATGTATACCTAAAGAAGGTGAGCTAGAAGGAGAACTCTGGGGAAGATGATCAATCCTTACTCATAAAGGCAAATCAAACAGATATTAGAAGATGTAGAAAACAGGAAACAGGACAGGAACCTACCACGGAAGGCCTCTGAAAGATTCTACCTAGCATTGTATCAAAGCAGATACTGAGACTCAAAAACAAACTTTGGGCAAAGTGCAGGGAATCTTAGGAAAGAAAGGGGAGATAGTAAGACCTGGAAAGGACAGGAGCTCCACAAGGAGAGCAACAGAACCAAAATATCTGGGCACAGGAGTCTTTTCTGAGACTGATACTTTAACCAAGGACCATTCATGAATATAACCTAGAACCTCTGCTCAGATGTAACCCTTGGCAGCTCAGTATCCAAGTAGGTTCCCTAGTAATGGAATTAGGGACGGTCCCTGACATGAACTCAGTGGCTAACTCTTTGCCTCCCTTGAATGGGGAAGCAGCCTTGCCAGTCCACAGAGGAGAACAATGCAGCCAGTGCTCATGAGACTGGATAAGCTAGGGTCAGATGGAAGGGGAAGAGGTCCTCCCCTACCAGTGGACTGGGAAAGGGGCATCGGAGGCGATGAGTGAGGGAGGGTAGAATTGGCAGGGAGGAAAGAGGGGATTACAGCTGGGATACAAAGTGAATAAACTGTAATTAATATAAAAAATAAATAATTAATTTAAAAAAATAGCTTGCCTTGCCAAGAAAATGGCCAGTGAAAAGTTTTCATAATTCAGGAAAGGCTTACTTGAACTCAAGTAAAAAAAAAATGTGAATGAATGCACATACATATGTGTATTAATATCATATTATATACATCTGTAAATATGTATATATTTACATGTATACACCTTACATTGATAATACAAATATTACATTATCAAAACCAACATTTTTTTAATTTTTATTAATTTACACTTTATTCACTTTGTAGCCCTCATAAGCCCCTCCCCCTTCCCTCCCAATCCTACCCTCCCTCCCCTTTCTTCATTCATGTCCCTCCCCAAGTCCACTGATAGGGAGGTCCTCCTCTCCTTCCTTCTGATCTTAGTCTATCAGATCACATCAGGAGTGGCTGTATTGTCATCTTCTGTGGCCTGGTAAGGCTGCTCCCCCCTCAGGAGGAGGTGATCAAAGACCAGGCCAATCAGATTATGTCAGAGGCAGTCCCTCTTCCCATTACTATGTAACCCACTTGGACACTGAACTGCCATGGGCTACATCTGTGCAGGGGTTCTAGGTTATCTCCATGCATGGTACTTGGTTGGAGTATGAGTCGCTGGGAAGACCCCTGTGTTCAAATTTTTGGTTCTCTTGCTCTCCTTGTGGAGTTCCTGTCCTCTCCAGATCTTACTATTTCCCACTTCTTACATAAGATTCCATGCACTCTGCCCAACAGTTGGCCATAAGTCTCAGAGTCTGCTTTGATAGTCTGCACGGCAGAGCCTTTCAGAGACCCTCTGTGGCAGGTTCCTAGGTTGTTTCCTCTTTTCTTCTTCTTCTGGTGTCTTTCCTCTTTGTCTTTCGGGATGGGGATTGAACATTTTAGTTAGGGTTCTCTCTCTTGATTAGTTTCTTTAGATGTACAGATTTTAGTAGGTTTATCCTATATTATATGTCTATATGAGTGACTATATACCGTGTGTGTCTTTCTGCTTCTGGGACAGTTCACTCAGGATAATTCTTTCCAGGTCCCACCATTTACCTGCAAATTTCATGATTTCCTTATTTTTCATTGCTGAGTAATATTCCATTGTGTAGATGTACCACAATTTCTGCATCCATTCTTCAGTTGAGAGGCATCTGGGCTGTTTCCAGCTTCTGGCTATTACAAATAAGGCTGCTACAAACATGGTTGAGCAAATGTCCTTATTGTGTACTTGAGCCTCTTTTGGATATATGCCTAGGAGTGGTATGGCTGGGTCTTGAGGAAGTACTGCACAACATTTCTTTTTAATTAATTATTTTTTATTAATTCATTATTGCATTAATTACATTATATTATATCTTATATCATGCATATGTATATACATGTATATTTTGTGCATATCTATATCTGTATATATGTGTATAAATATATATATGTACATACACACACACACACACACACACATATATATATATATATATATATATATATATATATAACTCATTTATTTTCAAGCTAATTTAAGTCAACCTGAAAAACAGATTTTACTTTCTGTTGCATCTTTCTATGTCATTCTTCTGACACTAAGATTCACCAACTTTAAGTTCCACTTTTGATTGTAGAGGAAAAAAATAACCATCTCTATTGCTTTTAATGACTACCCCTATTTCAGGAATATTCTATGTAAACATGCCCTGACACTGAGACAATATAAACATGTGTAAAGTTTCTCAAAATAAGATAGACTCAGTAACAAGGAAAGTGTGTTTTTGTTTTTGTTTTTAAACGCATCATCAGAATTAGCCACCTAACTGCTATGATTTCAAGTTGAACCTTGCCTTCTAGAGACCAGCAGCCTCTAGACACTAAACACAGCAGGAAAATGTGTGTGCATACAAACACAGATTGTTTCCCAAAACTTAACTATAGACATTCCAAATTCTTCACAATGGAGTTGATTCTATGTGGACCAATGCAGGAGGGACACATTTCTGTGGTGATTGATACCTGCTGTGATCCTGCAGATAAGTGACCCACAGACATTACCGAGTCCTGACTTCCCAGAAGCTGATGTGAAACTGCATCCACTATTGTTTGTAAGTTTTTCTCTCCCATAGCTTAACCATATTCCTGCTGTACAATTATTTTTACATGCTAGCACCTTAGCTCTCAGAGCTAACTCATCTGTCTGATTTTACTAACTCATCTGTCTTCTGTGTGACCTTCCAATGATCGAGACTGTTTGCATTAGATGCATGAGCCGTATAATTTCATGTATCAAATTCCAGAACTCCACAGAACTAGGAATGATTATGCAGGGTGAACTGGATTATACCTCTAAATCCAGGAACTGAGAGAGACGCATCTGAGACATTGAAATACTCATCATAAATAAGCTCAAAGAAAGAATTTTTGTGCTCACAAAGAAAATAAGAAATCAATCCTTTTTCAATAAAGGAGAAACAAATGTGGGTAAGAGGTCAGGGGTGGAGAAGGAGGAAATGGAGTGGGGGGGTCTGTTCTTGAAAAGGAGAGGGCAGAAAGTAAAGAAGTGAGTAATACAGACTGGACATTCTATCTCCCTTGGCTTTGTGCTCTAATCTCAGCCGAGAACAGAACAGATTTTGTCTGATGTGCACAAACATTTTATCCATTTGCCAAACAAGAATGGTACATGTTTTCAATCAAAGAAATGCAGCAACATGAATGACCAATTATACCGTTCTATTTTCTAAGTCAATAACACAATACTGGGGGACTGACTGACTGAGTTACAAATAAAGGTGATTTGAGGGGGGTGGGGGGATCAGGGTTCCAGAGGTGAAAAGTTTCAAGACCTCATGTGGTTATAACCTTCAGGTAGTAAGAGTCTGGGGCTGTGTGTGTCCCTTTAAGGCTTCCTCTCCTACTTCTTCATCTCTTCCTTTAAAGCCACAGGACTCAATATTTGAAAGTCTACTCTAAAGAGCATCTAACTACATCTCTCCCAGAAATCCCAGCTCTAAACAGGAGCCAAGTTGTTCCTATCCTATTTTTATGTCACAGTGAAACTCAAATGTCAATTCCTAAAGCTTTGGGGGATGCTTAAATAAGTTTATAAACCACAACAGACATTAAACTAAGATCAGGGCTAAAGTTTCCTCAATGCTTCCTCAACTTTTTATCTTAACAAGGAAATAAGTAGAAATGTTCTCTAGACTTTAGCATCTAGTTACACAAGACTATTGTTGTCTCTGACCCGTGTTCTCTTCTGTCCATAATCACTGTACTTGCTTCTGTTGCCTCACTCTTTAGGTTTTGTTGTCTTTGATTAGCAAAGAAGCCCCTTTCGCAGCTGTCTCACTAGTCCTTCAAAGTAGCCTCAGCCTTTGCACCAAGGTAGACCTTTACAGAAGCCAAAGATCTTTTGTAATGGTCATTCTCTATGCTCTAGATTTTTCGATACATAGACCAAACTACAACTTGATGTTTCAAGGAATCATCTCATTGAAATAAGAATTAAGTGATTATGGGTGAGCATAGTCAGAATGACTTGACAGTTCTCTTCTGAAGAGTTCCTCAAAGCAAGGTGTGTGACATTACTCCACCCACATTACCTGAGAACTTGTAAGAAATCAGAACCCACTGCTAGACAACAGGACAATGAAAAAGTGGGAGGTGATGCTGACTCATGACAAAGTTAGAGAGTCACAATTTTTTTCTGAACGCTAATTCCATAAGCAAGCAAAAAATACATTTCATAGTACAAAAACATATTTCAGGCCAGTTTGAGAAAGCCATTTTATTGACTTTGCAATGAAGTATTTGTTAATCATTTTTAGAATCATTTCAACTACTACTTATCTGAAGGTTCTACTTAAGAATCAAGCAGCTTCACTTGAGCTTCCAACTTCTGTACTGACTTCCTTTCTGTGAAAATGAGGGACAGGAGCAGGACAATGTGGGGACAGCAGAGCACAGGTACAAACACAAAGGATAGTTAGATCCACACTTTCTAGTCTCCAAGCACTGAATACTTGTCTGCCTTTTGATAACTGACTTTTCTCGTGTCATTTTTTTTCCCCAGATACCTTTATCAATGAATGTGTCAACCTTTCTGGCATACGACCAGCCCACAATAAGTTACTGTGGGGTCCATCATGAACTTCTCTCCCATAAGCCCTTTGAAACGAATGCACAGGAAGATACGATGGAAAGCCACCTAGAGACTGAGCTGGACTTGAGCACAATCACGTCAGCTGGCCGCATCAGTGACCATAAACCACAGCTGGCTTGAGCGAGCTGAGTGGTAGCTCAGGCTTGCTACCGAACTGTAACCTCAACGACAGAAAGAGGATAATTTGTTCATTGCAACTCTCAAATACAAAACAAACAAAAATCCCCTGTTCAAATAAACAAAATTCCAAGATTGGTTCATGAAATAAAAGAAGACATGAATTGTTTCAAGTCTATACTTTGTAATGAGCTAAGTTGTGCAGTATTTTTTTGACTTTGATAGAGAATGACCCTGAAAAAAAAAATCATTTTTTTTCCAAAACTCATCCTACCTATGTGTAAAAATTGTACAGCGCTAATGTATTTTTCATATTATAAAGTTTCAATTCTAGGAACAACTGATATGTACAGTACCATAATTTAATTATGCTTTACTTTACAAACTTTACACCTTTCAGTTTCTAAAATTTTAAATTAACAAACATTATTTCTTGTGTTCTTGAGAGTTACTTGGTTTTGTAGGGGCTGTTTTGTTACTGCGTTTGTGCCCAGAAACCTTGACTCTGAAATCTGTGCTGTGCGAACAATGCACGATTTTTATCATTATCATGCTTACTGCATAGAATTTTATCTACTTGTTCCAGAAATAATACATTAACCAAAAAAAGAAAAGGTTTTAATTGTTCAGACGTCTAAGAGGTTCTTCAATTACTTAGACAGGTCTTTCTTATAAATGAAAAAAAAATCAGATTTTTTTTAACAGTTCTTCTAAGACTTAACTGTTGCCTTGAATTACAGCCTAGTTTCTAAGCAGTGAAATGTAATGATAAAGAGGGATATTTTAACAAAATATTTCCGAATGAATGACTCATTATTTCATTCTTTTGAGTAACCATTGTTAAGGATAAGGAAAAGGGAAAAGCATGGACCAAACATCACTGGAAACAAAGGTCGTAACCACAGCAACAGACTCTGATACACTTCAAAGGTGCAGCTACAGTGACAAAGAAAAACTTCTGCTACATCTCCTTATTGTCAGGCCAAGGTGGGAGGATACAGCATAATTGTACAGTAGCAACTTTTTCTCTTAATTAACCCAAAGTGGTTTATCTAAAAATAACCACAAGTCAGTTCAAACTGTGCCTGATTCTTAAGGCAAGTTTTCATTTAGAAGGTAAAACTATATTTGGGAACATCTTGAAGGAAAAATACAGAATTTTTTCTTATTGTGTGCCACACCTGAAAAAGAACTTTTAAAAATCTGGTTCTTTTGGTATAGATGTGCCATAGTGGAGAAAACTCAGCGCAGAATAGACTGTAATAGTCTCCTGTTCCGTTGTTTATGCTGTTGTTCATTTGGGGATTTAGCTACAAGTTATTCAAAACAATAACCAAGAAATGTTGAACATCAGTCCAAACCACATATTGGTCACATGGTTATGTTTTAAACTGAATTAAATTCATATCAAGAAAACCTGGCTTTTCTGCAGCTGAAATGACAACTTGTTTCTGTTGTCTACCTGGCAGGTTATTATTGGAAAAATCAAGTTTGCCCATGATAATCACACATTCCTTTTCGGTTTTTTTTGTTTGTTTTGTTTTGTAATTTTTAAAGAACGTTTATATAAAACTGCAAGTGTCACAGCTACATAAGGAAAAAGCCTTCTTTTTTTTCATGGTTTAACTTTATAATCATGACATCAAAAGTAGAGGCAGAAAACATCAATCTGACAGAGACCAAACACAATAAAAAGTTACTGAAAAAGTTAGTGAAACACATTGTCAAACTTAATATTTTATCCCCTTCTATGAAATGCTTTCTGTATGCATCTAATTTCACACAGGTTGATCACAGCAACTTTAAGAGTACTACCAGAAAGGAAGAAATTCAAAATTGTAAATTCAAAAATCTGTTGAAAGAAAAAGAAAGCAAAATATTGGAAGGAGCAAATATTTACTTTAATGTAACTACAAATGTCACGGTACTTGTATCAAATATTTAGCATCCCAGATTTTGTAACATATTTTGCATAAATTATTTGCTATTCAATATTTTTGTTATTTAAGTCTAATTTTAATCTTAATTGTTTTCCAGTTTCTTATTTCTTTGCAATGTATTATTCTGATTGTTCTTGATCCCTTACACTGAGATTTAGCTCTGAACAAAATTTGAACTGGGTTACAAATCTATTCTTTGTAAGTCTGAAATCAAATGAAGAATTTTATTATATAAACCAAAACGTCATTTGCAACCTTTTCATTAGAAATCATTCTCCCAAAGATAAAATAGCATTAATTTGTAAAACTATGTACCTTCAAAAACTTCTTCCAGACACATTTCAAGTTGAAAAATGATAAAAAAAAAAAACCCTTAAGACTCCACAGAGCCTTACAAATATACATACACTCTTGATTTCCTGATGCAAACCACTTTCTAAAACGCTTATAATATACCATTTTTGCAAATTCTTTTGAGAATCTTATACATCTATATAAAGTATGTTGATCATACTCACCCCTCAACTCATCCCCTAACTCTCCTAGACCCACCCCGACCTGCATCCCCGAACCCCTTCCATATTCACATCAACTCTGAATATCCAACCTAATGAGTCCAACTCGCAAAGCCTGTGTACGCCTGTGTGGAGCCATCAACTGGAGCACGGTTGACAGGGACCATATTCCTAAAATAACCCTGACTTTCCTCCCGTATCAGATGTTCCTAAAGCTTTTCATTTATCTGCAGTGAACTATCAATGGGAACAGACACCTTGGAACCATGTCTGGGATCATCCTGTGTCCACAGCTATAGTAAGAAGCCAACAACTGAAGAATTTTGAGATCTTTCGCATGTGGCATTAAGCCCAAAGGGTCGTTAAATAAGTGGGAGGTAGTTAATGTTAAAATCTTCTAGAATAGGAGGTATCTACAATCTTAATCGCACATATAAAATTTATGTTACCTTGGATCAAAATGTTTTTATAACTTCTCTTTTTCAGTATTTACCATTCTCCTATTTTTTCCCTCTAGCCACCTTCCAAACCCCTGTGTTCCCCCTTTTTGGCCACTGCTCACCTATCTAAACAAGTTTGTTTAAAAAAAAAAAAAAAGCTGCTTGCCTGGTTTTTGGAGTTGAAAACTGGAGTCTGAGCCATCACAGTTACAGCAGCAGCCGCAGCTAAAACACAGGATAAGCCAGGCAGTATTTTAAGGTTTACAAATCTCGTGAATTGTCTCTTACAAAAATTCTTGAATTGTCTCATTCTGCCTTCGTAAACAATCTTGTGAGGACACACTTATGTCCCATAAGTTGACACTCCCAAGGACACAGAGCTGATGACCACTGGGTTGAAGCATTCTCAAAGCCCAGAGGCCGTTTTTCCATTATACTAAAAGTTCCTCCTCTCTGGCCAGAACCAGAAAACTCTTAGAGACAACAGACAGAAGACATTAGACATGTCATTTGGTAAGCTCCAACTCAACTTAGAAGTTTGTACAATCTCTGTGTCGAGGGAACTCTCTGCAGACCAGGCTCTAGTTTGCTTGTGATGAGCCTTTGTGCAGAAGTACTGCTAGCTACACGTTTACACACAAGGTCACTTGTGAGCGTATAGCTCATCACCCTCAAGATATGAGACAAGCAGGTCCCAGAGCGCAGAAGAAAACAGGAGCCACAAGAAGAGAAACTCAAAGCAGTCTGCACTGAGATTATTTAGGTGTTTATAAAAAGTCCACAATACAGAGCTGATCACACTTTCAAGTAAGTGCATGTTTGACTCAGAGTTAACTAGAAAGACATTTTCTTTCTTCTTGTGTTTTGTCAAGAGTTTTTTTAAACCATGAATTTTTTTAGAAGAACTATATAATAGAGAACTTTTTGCATTTGTAAGAAAGATAAAATATCATTATTCAAACAGATTCAGATACCATTAAAATTACGACGGGCCGTGAATATTTTGGGGTTTATCATAGCTTCATCTCTGCCCCCTCCAGGATGTTCTAGAAATCTCATAAAACCAGCAACACTTTTAATATAAATTATATTTTGGAAAGCAACATAAGCCAAATTTAACACGCAAGAAAGCATAGCCCAGCTTGAACTCAGATCTGTCTAATTTCAAAAACTGCTTAGAAAATGCAAAACTTATTTGCAAAGATATTTTCTAAAATGAACTGTTTAGGAGGGTAAAAATACACTTGGTTTTGACTATCCCTGTCTTCCAGATACCAACTCTCAATCTAAACACTAAAAATAAGCAAAGAACCTGAAAGAATAGAAACAGAGCTGGTCGGAACTGTTAGTGAGCTGGAAGAAAGAAAATCAGATGCGTGGGTAGGTAGCGTGTGACAGGGAGACGCGGGGAGCCTGGCCAGGTATCCGGCAATTCTCAAAAGTAAATCTAGTAACATCGGCTGTGTATATTTGTGTGTGTGTGTGTGTGTGTGTGTGTGTGTGTGTGTGTGTGTGCGTGCGCATGAATACAGTAGAAGCCAGAGCTCAACCTTGGTTGTTGTTCTTCAGCTGCTGTTCACTGGGACCTAGGAGAAGCCAAGTACACTGGATTTGTTAGCCAGCAAACCCCAGGGATCTTCTGAGCTCTGCGTCCCCACCAACAGTACCTATCGTTTTTACGTGCGGATGACACTCACATTTTCAGGCTTGGACAGCTAGCACTTTACCAACCAAGCTATCTCCCCATCCACCTCACAGCCCTGAAGAGTTGCTCACACTGAGTGTCAGCTTAACATGTCAGAGCTTACAGGCTTGCTTACGTTCCTGACAGGTTGGCTTTGCAGTGAGAATTCAGATAAACTGTTGTGGCAGGAAAAGTCTCCAACTGCACCCATTAACATATGAACTCACAACAGCTATGCCCAAGTTGCTGACCCAGGATCCAGGCTTTAAAGACTGTGACATCATCATAAGGGTAGAGTAGGCTGGCAACCCAGCAACTGTGCTTTCACTTGAAAATATAATGGGGGAAAATTCAAGAGCAAACACTAGAAGGCTGATGGGTTAATTTTTATGCTGTTCTGTGACCCTTATTAAATTTTATTGTGAGACTGAAAAGCAGCTATATTTATTTATTTTTTTTAATCAGAGTTAAGTTCACATTTTAAGAGGTCTACAGTCGGTTGCTGTTCTATGAGGGCACTGAGCGCACCGGCTCACCAGGGCTTCCTGAGCTCTCGAATTCCTCCCTTCTCTCTCTTAAATGTTTATAGATTTGGTTCCATATGTTTGTCTTGCCACAAAGATGAATGAAATTTTTTGTACAAGTGTAAATCAGAATATATTTTAAATGCACAGGAGACCCTGTAATAAAGGGTCCTTGCAGTAAACCCTTTTT